TCTCTCTGGTGAGTGCACTCATAGCAAAATCTCTCTTAAAAGAAAGAAAGAAAAAGGATGGCCTAAGGGGATTAGCAGGTGGCCTGGTGTTTAAGACGCTGGATCCCACAGGGCCAGGTGTGCAGTTTGAGTCCTGGACCTGGCAGCTTGAAAAACATGCCAGGTGCATATGGGTGTCCCAAATCCCAAGACGAGAATGAAGGAGGAGGGACTGAGGCACGGCCATCCCCCGGGGGGGTACTTTCTCACTTTCCCTCTTTCTGTTTCTGTCTAGAGAGCACATGTGCTCTGTAGCAAAAATAGATAAAAGTACATCTACATAAAGAAGATGCTGTAGGGACCAGCAGTTGGCATAATGGCTCTGTCGCTGGACTTCCATGTAGTGGACCGCAGTTCGAGTCCCGGACCTGGTGGCTTAAACTCACACTGGGCGCATGTGCATGCATGCCCAAGATCCCGAGAGGAGAATGGAGGAGAAGGGATTGCGGCGTGGCCATCCCCTCTGGGGGGTGATTTCTTGCTTTCTGTCTCTCTGTCTCTCTGTTTTTCTGGCAAGCGCACGTGCCCTATAGCAAAAACCTCTAAAAAAAAAAATACATATATATATATATATATGCTGTGAACGTGTGATGGTCAGGATAACTGCTTTTTGTTCCATGTGGAGAAAGGAGTCTGACGAACAGCTAGGGAGCGGTAAACGAGCCCCTCTGCTGTGGTCTTCGAGGACAGCTAACGACAAAATTGCTGCGGATTAAAAGGAAAGACTCCAACATGAAGGCTTTAGCTCAGAGCCCAGCGACTAGCCGGCAGTTCGGTAAATATTAGCTGTTGTTATCCTGCCTTCCGGTGAAGAAGGCTGGAATTAGACAAAGCCTGAGCGGGCTTCCTCTCGGTGGAGTGGAGAACCTGGCAGACAGCGAGGACTCTGCAGGGACAAAAGACGGTCCCTACTCTCAGGGAGCGGCCAGTGGCGCCTCACTTCATGACGCACAGGGTGGTGCCTACCCATCGGGGCACAGCCTAACACACGCACCTCGGAGACCACATGGCCGAGGGCAGGTTTCTGTGCTCTGGAGAACACGCCAGGCCCAGATCCCAGGGAGCTGGGGGCTGGGGAAAGGGGCCTGCGGTTCGGCGGGACCCTCTCAAGGGTGCGTCTCTCTCACTCGCTCTATGTTTAAAAAAAAAAAAAAAAAAAAAAAGCAGGTGCGAGTCCTCAGCACTTTACCCAGTGATGTCACATCTCCGCCCTGACGGGACTAGGGCAGCAGAGACCAAGTAACCTCTGATCAAGGGCTACCTGGACTTGCAGAGAACTTTTTTTGTTTCGTTCTTGCGATCGATAATTCAGAAATAGAGCCAATAATAATAGTGTTTTGCAAGTGTCACACAGCTTCCTGTGGTGGCCTGTCCTCTCCCTGCCCCCTGGTCCCAGCCCTCACCCCCATGTCCCTGGCTGTGGCTCTGACGCCAGCCGCGGTGATGAGAGCGATGCAGAGGGAGAGCTTGATGGCGTGCGCCTCCACACGGAAATTAAGGCCCATGGGGAAAACGGTGCAGTCGAGGTGCAGTCGTGGAGACGCGCTGAGGCCGCGTGTTCTCCGCTTGTGCACGTTCGGGCTGCGCAGACCGCACGGGGTCGCGGACGCGGAGGGGAGGGAATCGCCGGGCCCCACCCTTACCTGGGAGGGAGTTGGCGATGTGGAGGGGCTGGGGGCCCTTTGGGCTGTGCCTGCACAGGGGAGTTAGCAGTCGCGCGGGCGAGGAAGGGTAGGCGCGTGCAGGGGGAGGGCCGTCTAGGACTAGCGTGTGCGCGTGCGTGCGTGTGTGTGTGTGTGTGTGTGTGTGCACGCGCGCGCAGGGGACGGGGCGTACCAGGAGGGGCGGGTGTGTGTGTGTGTGCAGGGAGGGGTGCGGGGCAGGGGCCAGCCGGCAGGGC